TTATAGATACAAAAATCTGTAAATGTACTGATCTGAATTATAATATTTCTGACTGTCAAAATTTCCCAGATTCAAAGCGAATTGTGGATCGAATCGATTCAGGACCTTGTAAATCGGAATTGAATCGATTCTAGAAATCAGTGACGATACCCAGCCCTAGTGCCCAGTGTGTGTTCTTCTCACTTCGCCCACATTCATTCACATACTTTTATGTTTTTCTCTGTAAGTGCTTTTCCTCTAACATTCAGACTCTGATGGGAGTTGATGAGGTTGGAGTCAGTATTTTGCCCAAGGATATTTTGGCATGTAGATTGGACAGCCAAGGATCAAATCGCCAAACTTGACCTGCTCTGTCTCCTGAGCTACAGCAACAAACACAGTTTTGTTTTGTTTGTCTCCTTAATTATGACGAATGAGTCATTTTATGGTCTGCTACATGCCTTTCTTATTTATTCTTAGCCCGCAGGAAGAACAACTGTATACCACCACTTTCTAGCTCTCATACCTGTATATCTGCTTCTTCTTCACATCTTAATCTAGACACAGATGTTGTTTGGCCCTGCTCTCAATCTCAATGTTCGGATGAAATAACGGAGTGTTCCTGTAAATAAAGTCACTGAAAATTCCTCAGCCCTCCACTTTGGGGAAGGACTAAGATGGTATGATATGGTACAACTATGATATATAAATACAGGATATACATCTGTTTGCATATCCAGTCATACTTACAGAGGAGTATGATGGCACAGAGGAGGATGGCAACGAGGGCTCCTGTGCTGAGGCCAGGCGAGCTACTCAGAGCTTCGGGTTTACACAGCTCCATGTTGCCTTCATGGTCACAGGTACAAACCCTCACAGTAAGTGTGCCAGTGCTGCTCTGCATGGGGTAGTCATCATCGGTGATCACCACAGGAACCAAGTAGACGCTCTTGTGAAGGCGGCTATAGGTGGCTCGGCCAGTCAGGATGCCAGCAGTGTTGTCTAAGTTAGAGAAGGTTCTGTTAGAAGATCAGCATGGCCTGCAGCGTGACACTGTGCTCTCACAATACAAGGTTGAAAAACACTGATACCAGGGTGCAAGGAGAAATGTGGGTGCAACAAGGCATTACTAACAGGTTCTCCCTCACTGTTAAAACAAAGCATGGACAGGAATCTCTTTTACAACTTCGGCCAAAGGAGCTATAACATAGGGACAGATGGACAGATAATCATAGTGCAAAAAGTTTGACAATTAAATAAATATCTCTGATGAACTGTTTTAAGATAAGATAACTCTTTATTGTTTTTAGAAAAGTGTTTAATACTTTTTTAAAATCTCTGACCACATGATGACATTGTAGGAAAGCTGCAGAGCGGAGGGATTACTGCTGCCACAAGAAAATATGAAATGCAAATTGAACAACCCATCCGTTATCGCTCACACTTCTACCAGTGAACCTGACAGGTGCTGCCACTGGTTTAATGGGTTAAGTGGAACCTGCTTAACATCGACATCAAGAAGTCAACTGGTGGGGATGGGATCCCAGGGCGTGCCCTAAAAGCATGTGCACATGAACTGGCAGTGTTCACTGCGTGAGTAGGTCACTGAAAGAGGCTACACTCCCCACCTGCTACGACCATCATCCCTGCCCCAAACCTGGAGCCCTGGAGCTCCCAGTTGGCGTGGGTCGAACACGCCCACAACTTGCTGACCTCAGCAGCCACTGGCCTCTCCCCCTTCGAAACCTCACTCAGCTACCAGCCTCCTCTCCTACCATCCACAGAGGGTAAGCAGTTGGTCCCATTCATCTAGCATCGCCTTCGGAGTTTTGGGAGGTGTATTCACCTGTTTGTCTCTGTGTGCAAGTTTCTGATTCCACGAGACGGTAAGTGGTGAGCTGACGTTGTGTCACGGTCCTGGGTCGGGTCAGTATTTTGAGTTTCTTATGTTTTGGTTTATTTTGCATTATGGATTAGTTATTCTCTGGTGATACTGTTTTGATTACAATTATATTCTGATTCTTTAGTTATCTGATGATGATGTTGATGATGATTATTTCTGGTTTAGGTTTTGTTATCTTCCCCCTATGTTTGGTTTAGGTTGCCTGTGCTTAGTCTTCTCTGCCCGTATGTCCCTCTGTTTGTCCATGACGTCATCATGCCTGTTTACGAGTCTGTCTCTGTCTGGCGTGTGCTTCCTGTTTTATTGTGAAGGTCTGTGTCGTATGTGAGTGTGCTCAGTTTACGTTTCCCCTGTCCCGTCAGCCCAGATTCCTCCCAGCTGTGTTGCCCTCCTGTCTCTCATCCCCTGATTACTGGTGTGTGTATTTAAGCCCTGTGTGTTCTCCTGCCTGTTGCCGGTTCGTCTGTGTAACGCCGCGTCAGTCTGTTACCTTGTGTTCCACGGTGTCCTGTTCCTCGTCTGCATCTCTCTGCTTCTCATCCCGTTGTCATATGCTCCCAGGTCTGTTATTTTTAGTCCTCCCAGTTTAGGTGTCTTTAGTTATTTGTTATGCCCCACTGTTTGTTTGCCACTACACCTCTGTAAATAAAACCACCGGTATCTCATCCACTGCCTGCATCTTGGGTCCTTCTTCCCACTCCACATGGCTCGCCTCGGCAGCCGTGACAAGTTGGTGCGATTTCTGGGAGCGATTGCCATCGAGACTGGACCACACCATGCTCAGAGCTTTTTGAGCAGTAGCATGTTTGTCACGTTTATTCACTGTAAATACAAGCTCTGTACTCACTGGAAAACCAGCATTTGTGTGCTGCCTGTATATAGGTCAACCTCACTGGTCCTTTCTCTTCTGTTTATTTCATTTATTCAATATGCAGCTGCGAAAAAGACTGCTGTCAAAAGTTTCATTGTACAAAACTAGACACCAGATCTGATCTGATCAGAACGTTTGTGTAAAATGATAGAAAAACTTCACATTGATCTAAGCTGCACATTTTCCCATCTCTCCCTGCAGTGCTGGCCTCTCCATCACATTGATATCTATCTCTACCCTCATGGGGGTATTTAATTATTCACAATTTGTATGCGTATTGCAAAAGCTGTGAATGATAGGTGCCAAACTTTAATTGTGTTCTGCCAAAAACAATTCAAGTATGAGCTGCCTGACTGAATTATGGTTTCGAGTAAAGGGTTATAAGTCAAACCATTTAAACACTGGTTTAAAATGCAGTAAGTTATGATGAAGTCAGTATAGACCTCTGCTTCAACAGATGTACGTGCATTATCTGAGTTGGCTCCCCTGGTGGTGGCTGTGTTCATGCAATGAAGAGCAGCATCTCTTCAAATGTATATCTACGATTAACATCAATCAACCTGCTGCATTGATAGATGCTCACCCAGCTACCATCAATCTCAAGCCGAGGCAGAGGCAGATGTGGGCATGTCAAGTAAAGCTCTTTGGTGCACTCACATAATTGCAATGTGGATTCAACAGTAATCAGAACAAAAATGATTTGGTCCTTGGTGTAGACTGAGCGGCTAACCCAAGGAGCCCTACACTCTACACTGTATGTCTCTCAGTTTCAACTGTTATAAGAAAATGAAATGCTTCATCAGTAACAAGTTAAGGCAAAAATATGATTATATTCGTTTAAATTGTTTTTATGCATTTTTTCCTGCATTACTAAAAGATTTTGGTTTAGTTTTTGTTTCATTCAATTTAAGTAAATAATACCCAAGAATCAAGTTTGAATAATTGTGTCAGATCACCTACCTCCATTGTCTCTGACGCTGAAATTTCTGTGGTGAGTCTCCTCTGGAGCCAGACTAAAGGCAAACTTGTGTCCGGATGATGGCTCATCAGCATCAACAGCACTCACTGTCTGGATCCGCTGCCAGAGACATCAACATTGATCAACACGAGCATCATGGTGGAGTCTGTAAAGCTGCCAAAGTGAGCAGCTTAGATAGATCAGGCTCATTGCTGCCTGTGCTACATCAATATCTCTGTCAGCAACAGCAATCGATTAAACAGCACTTTGAAAAAGAACAGGAAACAGTGGTTAGCTTACTAAATCACACACAACAAATAAAACAAATACTTGATACCTCCATTCAGACTTTTGCTGCTGCTTTACACTTTAACAGCAGCACGAATGAACCTTTCCTTCTTTGGAAATAAGCAGTTTTCTTTTTGGTATTCTAATGTCTTTACTCACCAATTTATATTCAAATGTAGCTACATACCTGCTTCCTGCTTTGAAAATGTAACAGCAGGACACAAAAGCAGAGTATTTACAGTAACTTTATGTTAGGAAAACAACAAATGTAGGATCACACCGAGTTTAAGATGAGATAAGATACCTTTATTAGTCCCACGAGTGGGAAATTTCATGTGGAGAATTTCAATGAAGAGAAGTAGATTATTCTACAGCTGTAATCTGAGACGTTTCTTGGTTGTTTTGATATGTTTTATCCAACAGTGTACACTTGCCACTGTTGACATCCATTGTAGCTGAAATCAATCTGAGAACAGCTGCTGTTCACTGTGTAGCAGCAGGACACCAACGTTCCACAGCTACCTTTCAAGTCTGCAGGGTCGGAGAGTTTCATACTCCAAAGATAGATTTTGGGTGGAGAATCGGTGTAAGGCAACAGAAGCCGACACAGCTTCATGCAGTTTTGATGAATTTCAGGCTGAAACCAATTCAAAAACTATGAGTATAACGTGTGCTGTGGGTTTAACATACTGAATGAACATATAACATGTTAATATACTAATAGTGAAATAGAGAGTTCTGTTACTTCTGTGTGAAAAGGAGACCTCAGTGGATGGAAGGGTCTATATTGTCTTAAACTTCCAGATATACAATGTTCTAGCAGGGCAGATAGATAATTTGTTTCTATAAATGATTCTAAGCTTGTAGCTGTTACAAGCTTAGAATCATATGGTCCTTTAATGTGGGATAAAAATGCTGTGCATGTAATAATAATTCTGTCAAATAACCTTTAACGCGTGTGTGAACTGCCTGCTCTTTAAACTAAGTGCTATTGTATCATTGGCTTGTATGGACCAAACAAAACAAGACCAAGATATACAAATGCATTTTTAAAAATTCCCCTCTCCACCCTGTGGGCGGTCTCTCCTTCAGGCTCGGGTCCTCTACCAGAGGCCTGGGAGCTTGAGGGTCCTGCGCAGTATCTTAGCTGTTCCCAGGACTGCGCTCTTCTGGACAGAGATCTCCGATGTTATTCCCGGGATCTGCTGGAGCCACTCGCCTAGCTTGGGAGTCACCGCACCTAGTGCTCCGATTACCACGGGGACCACCGTTACCTTCACCCTCCACATCCTCTCGAGCTCTTCTCTGAGCCCTTGGTATTTCTCCAGCTTCTCGTGTTCCTTCTTCCTGATATTGCTGTCATTCGGAACCGCTACATCGATCACTACGGCCGTCTTCTTCTGCTTGTCTACCACCACTATGTCCGGTTGGTTAGCCACCACCATTTTGTCCGTCTGTATCTGGAAGTCCCACAGGATCTTAGCTCGGTCATTCTCCACCACCCTTGGGGGCATCTCCCATTTTGACCTCGGGACTTCCAGGTTATACTCGGCACAGATGTTCCTGTACACTATGCCGGCCACTTGGTTATGGCGTTCCATGTATGCCTTGCCTGCTAGCATCTTGCACCCTGCTGTTATGTGCTGGATTGTCTCTGGGGCATCTTTACACAGCCTGCACCTGGGGTCTTGCCTGGTGTGATAGACCCCAGCCTCTATGGATCTTGTACTCAGAGCTTGTTCTTGTGCTGCCATGATTAGTGCCTCTGTGCTGTCTTTCAGTCCAGCTTTGTACAGCCACTGGTAGGATTTCTGGATATCAGCCACCTCCTCTATCTGCCGGTGGTACATACCGTGCAGGGGCCTGTCCTTCCATGATGGTTCCTCGTCTCCCTCCTCTTTATTGGGTTTCTGCTGCCTGAGGTATTCACTGAGCACTCGGTCAGTTGGGGCCATCTTCCTGTTGTATTCGTGGATGTTCGTTGTCTCATCCTGGACTGTGGTGCTGACACTCACCAGTCCCCGGCCCCCTTCCTTCCGCTTAGTGAAACCCTCCATGCATGGTAAAGATCTTCCTCATCTTGATGTCAGCGGCTTCTATCTCCACCTTTGGCCAGCTTATTATCCCAGCAGGGTACCTGATCATGGGCAGTGTGTAGGTGTTGGTAGCCTGGATCTTGTTCTTACCGTTCAGCTGACTCCTCAGGACCTGCAGAGGGTCAGGCAGGTCCTGAGGAGTCAGCTGAGAGATGTGTGTATTTATGTGTGTATTTTTCTTTAACTAGTCTTATTTTGTTAAATGAGAAATACTAGCAGAGAGATTAAAAGCTTTAATACAGATTAATGGTTGTACTTGGTGGCTGCAGCTTTCCTAGCGACCTCTTGGTGGTTCCCGTTTGCCTGTGGGATTCCCAGGTACTTGTAGCTGTCCTCGATGTCTGCACTGTTGCCTTTGGTAGTTCGATCCCCTCAGTTCTGACTACCTTTCCTCTCTTCGTTACCATCTGACTATACTTCTCCAATCTGAATGACATTCCAATGTCCTTGCTGTAGATCAGTGAATCGATGTCTCTTTCACTTGTTAGATAAGCTGGTTAGTCTCGGTGCTGCATTCACATCATCTAGTAGATTCTCAGAGGGTACTTCACTCAGGATCATGGCCAAGCTTGAAACATGGATCCTCCGTAGCCAGTTACCAAGACCATCTTTCAGTTCCGCTGACACCAACGATCCTTCTCCCATCACACTTGGGACTGGGGCATACAGATGCCCTGGTGGGGAGTGGAACCCACGACTCCCACTCCAAAGGCGTGTAGTCTTATTGCATAAAGCTATATACACACACGTGTGTACCCATATGTGTTGGTCCTGGGTAACTGCTGTTCATCCACAGGTGCAGTTAGTTATTGTGACTGCATGTAGGTATTTTGTTTAACTAGTCTTATTTTCTTGAATGAGAATTACTAGCTGAGAGATTAAAGGGTTTAATACAGATTAGTGGCAGTACTGCAAACATGCACAAGTGCAACAAATACAGCAAAGAGTCTGAGGGAAGCACTGGAGGATCTGTGTGGAACAAAAATCGATGATTAACACTGATGGACAGATGAATAGGCTGAGAGATTAAAGGACGAAAGTATGGCAGAACCCCAGAGTTGTAAGAGGACCAGCGGCAGCAAAATCTGGAGGATTTTAGTTGCTCGGATGCTCTTAACTGATGAGCTCATTTGCAGACTTGTAGGAGTAAATCTTGCATCTTCTGCATGTGAGGCTGAATCTCAGGTGGCTCCTGTAGCCAGCCAAGCTGTTTGCTTGTACTCATGTACTAGCGTTAGGCAGTCGTTACCAAAGTGGGTTAAAATGACCTCCCAGCCCATTGTTCCTTAGTGGTGCAGGTTTCAGTCATTATACAAATGTCCTGTTTATAAGGTTGGAAACCTGCAGTCAGCTGAGACTGAAGACGTCACTTCAATGAGTCACAAAACATTTCTTCCACTAAAAACGTCCAGATGAACAGAATCAACTTTGTGGGAGACTTGGATCTAGATTTGTTGTGTTATACTTAGAGTGTGTGCGTGTGCGTGCGTGTGTGCGCGTGTGTGTGTGCACGTGTGTGTGCACACAGTTAAATGTTGCTGTCATAATAAAAGCTGACTTCATGCAATCACAGTGCTCTTCTGTTTTATGCTAAAAGGGGATTATGTGCTCAGTCTAGCCTTTCTGGAACTTTTCATGTCCTGCAATTTACTCATAAAAGCCCATCACTACACATAAGTACAGTGCCACCTGCTCTGGGCAGACTAGCACAACCTCTGAGAGGTTTGGGAGGCCGGTCCACACTGAGCTAGTGTCAGACAACATGCCTGTTATGAGGATCATGTCTGTGTATTGCACTCATGGTTATGTGTTTATCAGCAGCCTACAGGACCGACTCCAGAATTTGCCATTTTTCATAAACAGCTGATAAATCTGGACAGCGTAAACACTCATCACATTTCTGTTGCCATCCAAGGGCACGCTAAGGATCCGCTGCCTCACTTTAACTGGCAGCATGAACTGGGCCTAAATAATTATTTCCTGTCACTTGCAGCTGAGACATCTTATATCGCTGAACATTGCTGACCGACAGATCAGTCTGATTATGAGGCAGACTGTAAACAAGCCCACCGTCTGATCTCAGTCGTACTGAGAGGTCAACATGAAAACGACTGTCTGTGAAATGTTCATCATTTAAACAGAAAACATGTGAAACATCATGTGAAAGGAGGTGTGTCTGTGATTTTTCCACCCAGTCAGTTATTAAAACCTGTCACGATCTGAATGTGTATTTTTCTGTCACTTGCTTTCAGAGTAGAAACTTTAGTGACTTAAATTTTATTCCACAACCAGCATTTATTTTTTGTGCTCACATTCAAGGACCTTTGAAGAAGCTTACTCGATAGCTACAAGCACACAGTGTGCATGCAGTGATTGTTACGAGGACTGACAAATGAAAACTGCTTAAACGTTACGCCCCAATCAATCCCTTCAACACAAGCCGAATATCAGCCCTACAATAGGACATAACTATGGAGTCAGAGCCTATTTTAGTGCTTGTACCTGATTGTTGTGTTTATTTCAAATCTAATACATGTTTCCTTTCAGTGCAGCCCTGCTGGGTCACCTGAGGTAACAACTAGCAGCTTTTCTACATCTCCTCTGCCGTCAGGTTAATCAGAGAATGTCTCTGAAAATGACCTGCGTTTAAAGCAGGTTGTAATGAAATAGCTGACTTGTTGTCATTGTCTGCACTTCTCTTGTGCGTTTGCTTCCTGGTCTGTTGTTAACAATGAAAACAGTGTGAAATAGTCAGATGGCTGAGTGAAAAGACACCAGTAGAGGTTAAATCAAAAGACCCATCCTCTGTGTGCACACAGGGGCGTCTTTGCTGCTGTGATCATCACACTGACAACAATCACTCAAGCTCCACTACTAGCAGCTAACATGAGCCAAGACAGCGCCCCATCTCTGTCTTTGTTCAAATACAACCACAGACTGTGTACAAAAGACTGAGGCAAAGATGAAGAAGTGACTGACGCCTCTGTTCTGGAGAGCAGGGGGGGCCGTTTGGAAAACCACCCTTCGATTTATGGCTTTAGTGAAGACTTCCTGATGAAACCAGTCAGTCAGTCACCGTCAGGGACCCTGTGCCTACCCGCTCGGCTCAGTATGGCTACATGTGTTTGTTTTGCTTTTGTTCCTGCTCTCTCCCTCCCTCTCTTTCCCTCCTCCCTCTGCCTGGGCAGAGCTCACCCGTGGGCTCCTGCCCTTGGCCCACGCACCTGGTCGCAATCACACACCTGTGGCTCATCACCCGACACTGTTCCAGTCCCTTTATAAGATGGCAGCTCTGTGTTTCTCGTCGCTGGACCGTTGCCGACTCTCGTCAGTGTAAACCCAGCTCAGTTTATTCCTATGTTTTCCCAGAGATCTTCCCTTCGTGTTTCTGTGAACAGATTCCCTGGACCGACCCCTGTGTTACCTGAGCGATTGAGTGTGTGAGGTTTAGAGTGAGCTATCGTGTTTTCTGTGGAGTATGAGGAGGAGCGTGAGGCGTGGAGCATGGACGGAGTGTGTGTGGACTTCCAGCGTCTTTCCCCCCGTTCGTGTGTGGATCCCCGGAGCCCGTCCTTCCCCCACTTTGTAAATAGATCACCTGGTGTTGCTGTGAATAAAGATTCTTGTGTTCTCAATTCAGAGCCTGTGCATGAGTCCGTTCAGTCCCGTTGTGACAGTCACTAGTCTGAGGTTTGTAGCCGTTCTTTGTTTCACAGTCAGATTACAACACAGCTGGGACTTCACTAACCAATGGGTGCCATCATTATAGCAACATCTGTTTTATATAAAAATTAGGCAGAGCTGTAAGGTGTCATTTTGGATGCTCAGTCACTAGTCTTTATACAGCTCTGGGACCGCTCTGCTCTAATCAGGCTTTGAAGTCAGTAAGATGCCACCAGAGCACACAGTGAGCTAACACATGAAGTATGTGAGTACCTGGCCAGCCTTGGTTTTCTCACAGACAAAGGTTTCGTACACAGTGGCAAACATGGGAGCATTGTCATTGATGTCCAGCACACGGATGTAGACACTGACGCTGCTGCTCTGACGGGGATTATCTGGAGGCACAGAAAGCACAAAAACATCTGTCACTTTGGGGTTTTGCAACTTTTCCAGTACCTTCACAACCATCTGTATGTAACAGCTTCACCAAGCTTATATTCAAAGTAAACTTTATTGTCATCTCTGCTGTATCCAGTGCAGCATATAGAGAGAAGGTGAAAATTTGATCAAAACTAAAGAAAAACATGAAGAGGATTTTAAAAGTCCTCCCATGATCAGAAGTAATGAGACTCTGTAAGACATCATCTATAACAGACACTGAATGGGGCAGGTGGGCGATATTTCTATACTTGTGTCTTCAGAGAGAATACACTTAAAACAATCTCACAGTTGGGACTACAGTCACTAAGAACACCACTGGTATGTTTTCAGTTTTATTTTTTTTGTCATATGCAAGTTAGCACAGGGTCAACATTGCAATGAAATGTGTTTGACGAGCAGCAGTCACTCTGCAGCATGATACAGTAGGAGAAAATATAAAATAAAATAAAATAAAATAATAGAAAAATAAAAAATAGTAAGGAGCAAAATATTAGAGAGCATGGTAAAAGAGAAAAGATGACTAAATATATATGTATCTATAAATATAAATATATGTACACTAGTGATTAAATAAGAAAATCTTGAAAAGAAATATGACGGGAGGGCAGATGGGATATTGCACAGGAATGAGCAGCAGAAAATTACAGTATTGCACTTTTAAATATAAATATCAATACAATAAAGTGGAGTGACCAGTGCAGATTAAACAGAGTACTTGTGAAGCTGCAGGGTAGCTTCTGAGTGCTGTGTTGTGTGTGTTTAAGTGTTGTGGTTGAGGTGTCGTATGGCTTGGTGGTAAAAACTGTTTTTAAGTCTTGTAGTCCGAGCAGACAGGCTCCTGTAACGTCTGCCAGATGGTAACAAGGAGAACAGCTGATGTGCTGGGTGGCTGTGGTCCTTGATGATGCTGTGTGCTTTACGGAGGCTATGTTATAATGTCTTATAATATGTAGCTTGCCATCGCCAGTGTGTGAATGTGTGTGTTAATGGGTGAATGACTGAATGTAGTGTGAAGCGCTTTGGGGTCCTTAGGGACTAGAAAAGCGCTATACAAATGCAGGCCATTTTATAATAGTACCCGCAAGGTCCCCCTGTTCAAGATGTCACATATACAGGCATGGGAGCTGGTAAATGGACTGGTTCGGGCAAGGGCAACACATTTCTTTGAGTTCTAAAAAGGAGAAAGCTTTGGATACGAAAAGAGATTTTTAAAAATGGCCAGATTTGTGATCAGTGTTTTAAAAAAATATTTGGGGGGAACCAATGAAAAAGCTACATTTTGACATTGAAGCCATCTTGAATAACAGAACAACCTTTAAATACTCACACCCTCACATCACTTCAATAAAGATAATCATGTGGCAACTGCTGATTAGACTAAAGCTGATGTTGTCAATGTTTTTTCATAAAATGCAATCTGTCCAATTTGCAGATAGATTTAAGAAAACAGAGCTTGTATTAAACTTGCCATTGAACATCTAAATGATTCAGAGAAGGTTTAGGAATAAGTGTTGTGTTGCTCTTCTACTAATGCCACAGGATAGAGGGACCAACGGACGGTCCCATGTACCATAAATCTGCAATGAGAACCTCCTTCCCTCAGCCACAATGCTGAAGACAGGTCATGGATGGGTCTTCCAGCATGACAACGGCTCAAAATATAGAACCAAGACAAATGAGTGGCTAACATTAAGGTTATGGGGGGGCCTGGCCAGTCTCCAAACCTCAATCTTATGGAAAATGCTAAGCAGCAGCCAAGCAACATAAAGTATTAAGAGAGTGTCTGTAAAGTGGAGTGAGCCAAAACCCCTCCTGACATGTGTGCAGGCCAACTACATAAAATATCTTACCGCTGTGCTTTTCAGCAGCGCTTTCTCCACCAGGTACTAAGTCATACTTTGTTTGGGCATCGAATATTTATTTCACCCAATGACATGCAATTCATCTTTCAGTGTTTTGTAATGTGTAATATGTTTGTTCTAGATATTATCTCTCTCCATTAAAATGAGAGCAACATGTTCATTTATTTGTAAATGTGCAAACTTTGTGGTTTAACTTCCAATCAGCCCATTCAGTGTGCTATACTCCGGGGTCTGATTCTTGTTGTTGAACCCCTCCATGGCAGACTGTGCTCTACTGCCTCTCCTCTAACAGTTTTACTCTTTATCAATATATCACATGAGCAGTGCAGACAGTCCCAGACCCTGCTGGACTTACTCAGCTCTGTGGCAACAACTGAAATATTATGCCATGCAGTCGTCTCTCTGTCCAGGCTTTTGAGCAGGAACACAGATCCATTCATCGGATAGACGTTGAAGAGGTGGCCCCTGTCAGTGCGGCGGTCGATGGAGTAACTAACAAGTGAGACAGAGAGAAGGTGAGAAAACGTTAAGTTGAGTCAGGTGGTGGGATGACCTATAGCCTCCTCCTCTCTGCGCCGCCCTGTCAAGAAGCCAGCGCAGCAGGGAGCATAATGGATCAATCTCTGACGGAGGGAACCAGGTAAAAAGTGTCACACTGTGGAGATGTGCTAAAATTCAAAATCTTAAAGCAATTAAAGGTATACTAAACATTGCATTAGTCTGTGCCTGAACTGCTGCAAAAGCTTATTTTGCTCCCACAGCAGTGTTAATATGCTGCTGTACCAGTAGCCTGAGCGTGCTGTTTATACGCTGTATTACTTACAAATGTTTCTCCAGCAGTCCCTGAACTTCTGACGATGAATAACAAATACTGGTTGCCATAGAAACAGGAACTCAAGGAACCCCCCCCCCCGACCGGGGGGTGGCCTCACCCCCTTGATGGGCGAGTCTTCCCTCTAGTCCCTGGACTCTGCTTCCCACACTGAAGGTGTGTCAGTGGGGTTAAGTCTTTTATCCACTGCCTGGCTATATCCTCATCTGAAGTCACCAGCAGCCCGCTTCCACTGTACACTGTGTCACTAGAGCACTGCTTTCCTTTCTAAAATTCTTGTTCCACAGTCTGACTGAACTCTTCCCACACCTGGGTTTTTGTTTCGGGTACCGCCCAAGTCAGGTTCCACTTGACCTGTAGGTACCTATCAGCTGCCTCCAAAGTCCCACAAGCTAACCAAGCCCAATGACTCCTCCTTCAGCTTGACGGCTCTCTTCACCTCTGTTGTCCTGTGATGTCTGGCTTGGGGATTACCACCATGACAGGCACAGTCCCCATTCAGAGTCCTCAGCCTCCCTCAGGTGCTGTCAAAGGCCTGCCAGACTTTCCCAGCATCACTCACTTTATGTTTGCGTGTGCCGGGTCTGTCCAGAATCTTCCCCCTTCCCCTCATCCAACTCACCACCAAGTGGTGATCAGTTGACAGCTCAGGCACTCTCTTTACTCAGCTGTCCATAACTCATGGCCCCAGATCGATGATACGATTATAAATTTGATCATTGATCTGTATTCTTTTGCATCTTTATGTTCGTACATGCTGTCGCTTTGTACACACTGTGGTTTGCCCACT